GCTCGCATTGAACTGAGTTATGCCCATTTGCGAACAATGATTTACTGATTTTGTCACTTACCGTATTTGGATACAATTGAAATGAGGTAGTTTTCATTTGAATGCAGGAATTGCCTTGCTCCTCGAAAAGTGTCAACCATTCACGCATCAGGTTAAGAATAGAAGGTCGTTTGTAAACAGGAACACTGACTGAGTGAAATTGTGGTAGAAGACGCGCCAGCAGAAAGCATGTTCTAGAAAATTTAGTTAACAGTTTAACAACAAGCAAAAATTTGAGAGAATCAACTTTTTGCTAGTTTTTTGCCGATCGAACATAGAAGAAAGCCCAGAACTCTATAAGTATGTGCTTCACAAACAACCGCTAGTTCATAAGTGTTGTTTTTTTCGCTTACAAACATTCAAGACCTTCTGTTCTTGATGTTTGTCTAAAAATCCCACCCTACTCATCAATTGAAGCTAATGTCGAAGAGCTGAACTTTCTCTTTTCTGATGATGGATTAGCCCTACCTCAGAAATGTCCTCCTTGTGTTAATTTTATTTTAAAAAAACGGCAACTATCAAAAGTTGTGTTTTGTGCACAGAAAACCAGTACATGGTCATTGCGTACTGTTACACATAATCACAAAATAATGAGTTTTGCGGAAAACTTTTAAGGGTCTCATATCGATTGTTTGCCCACTATGCCAAGAACTTTACTTTCAAACTGATTTTATATACATAAAAATAAAATTTATAAATCGCCCGGTACATTTCAGCTCATCGCAATTCAGTAATTTCCTGAGATTTAGGATTTTTGTGAATCTCATAATTAAAAACTAGCAAGGCTACGACAGTAGCATCTATGTGTTGCAGAAAAAAAAAAGAAAACTGATCAAAATTCCTTGATCAAAAACTGATTTTTCACCTACTTTTCGAATATCTAAAAGTTATTTAAAAATTGTGACAAAATATTTACCTTGGATCTGTTACTTCATGATGTTCCAAGTTTCTGCTAGGGATGTACTCCTCAAATCGTCCACCCGGGAAGACGCCAAGCAGCTTGGGTCCAAGACCCTTTTCTGAAACCCACAATGTGAGAGACTTGCAATATTTGTAAGTCAAGCCAAAAAAATTCCATATTATATCTGCGGCTGAGGATGAGGTTACATAAGTTTAGTGATAAAAAGGGAGCTTCCGTTCAAAATTTGCGCTTTCCGAATCCAATAAGGAAGCTAGATAACTTGAAAGACATTAACCCACCTGCCAGAGTAGTGAAAACAACAAGTTCATTGAGCAATTTCTCATAATCTGTTTGCGATTGAATGCGAAGTAGTACGGTATCAGGTTGTTCATCCAACGAAGAAAATTTAGTCCGAGAAACGAGATAAACGAGATTTGTAAGACCGCCTCTGTAGTAGATAGATTTTTTTTTCATTTTCGCTATAAAGTCCTTTACTTTTGAGATACTGTAATTCAAAAGAAAAGATTTCAAGTTAGAGAACGTACGGAATAGGTGCGACACAGATGTTGTTTGGATGCACTTCGGACCATTTGCCACCCAAAACGTCCGCACATAGTGAGAGAATTCTGTTCCGAAGTTCAACTTCATTGTGAGTTTTGAAGAAATTCTAAAAAAGAGGACTTTTAAACATATAACACAAGCTCTAAAGTCTTTTTATAAAAGAAATCAGCTATTTTCGATTTTTCCTTCTTAGAGTAAGAACTGACCATTATTTCTGTAGGCATTCTTCAACCCGTAAGCTCAACCAACTGCTTTGATTGGCTTTGATGGGCAGTCTTGCAGATTTGTCTATGAAATGGAGTTTCAAGCGAAATCGATGAATATGCTACAGAACAAATGATTGAATGAACAATCGAGTAAATTGAACAAGTCAATGAATAAAGCGAATGGATGAAGGACTGAGAAACTACAGGCATATAAAGGAATGGAGCGGATGAATGATTGAATGGTTCTCAAACGACGAGTTTATTCAATAATTTGTAAAGTGCGGACCACCTATCCAAAGTTTTTGCCCTTATGGGTGGTGATGCATATTTCCTATTGTACAAATTTTCTAGAGTAAGTAGTGATAGGAGCATTGTGAATCGCCTAGTGCTTCAAAATTTTTTTCACAATCAGATAAACGACAGTGAGCAGTTGATGGGGAAGAGGAAATGCAACGAGAACACGTTTATAAATCTATCTTGAATTAGGGTTTATGATTGGATCAGAGAGTGGTAGGCGGAGCAGTCACTTAAAAGACGATAAACACTCATGTTACATTCGTATTAAATCCAAAAACAAACCAATCAGAAACCAGGTCCATCAGGCAATTTATCAAGTAATTCTTTACACGACGAACATCGTGATTACTGTACGTTTACACGATTATGCAGCAGGTTCCTCGTGCGTGCAGCGAGTTCATCATGTGGTCAAATTCACTTTTAAAGGTGTTTTGAAATATAAAGTTTTAGAGAATGTTTCCCTAGTAAGGCCATTTTGCAGCTGGTTAGAAACTAAATTGACTGTGCAAAGCATACTAAGTAATGAAGCAATAAATCGGGGGCAAAGCAAATTTAATTTGGCAATGTTATAGCAGAGCAACCATTGAAACTTTGAAAGGATTAGGATCGAAT